GGTACCAGGTGGCTCCGGCACCACAGATCCAGCTCTGGTACCGGTTGCTGCTGTCCCCGGGGCTCTGCGGGCAGGTTGCAGCCTGGAGGGCAGCGCTCCAGAACATCCCTGTGCCTGTTGGTGCAGAATCAGGGTCTGGAGATTTCCACCCCCAAGGACCATGCACAGCCTCCCCAAAACAGATTATTTTTTCTTTTTTTTTTTTCCCCCAAAAAAAGAAATCCCTCTTTGGCTGCACCTTTGTTCTACTTCAATGGGCAGGGGCCTCTTGGGCTGGCTGGGGTGTCCCCAGGGGACCTGTCACCCAGGTGCCAACTCCTGGGAAAGAGGGAAACAGGGACCAGCTCCAGCTATGACCTGTTGCACCCCCGGCCCATCTCCCTGGACCCCCATCCCTGCTGCTCCCCAACAGCAGCACCGCAGGCTCCGAGGGTCCCGGCCCCCCAACAGCAGCACCCAGACCCTCCAGCAGCCCCAGGTCCCCCCTCCCCTGGCAGCGCTGCTGGGACCTGCAAAGGGGCTGCCCCAAACCCAGTGACACCAGCAGAGCCCGGGGGGAGCTACGAGCCACCCCCTCGCATGGGGCCGTGCAATGAGCTTGTTGGGGCTCAGCAGGCTGCACGAGGCTGCCACCCCCAGCCCGTGGGCTGAGCCGGGGGCTCCCGGAAAGCCCCTGCGGTGGCTGCACAGGAACCCCCCGCCCCCGGGACCCTCCTTGACTCACCAGGGAGCTGCAGAGCCCGGCACAGACCCAGCTCCTCCCTGCTGCAGCCTGGGGAAGAAGAGGCCTCCTGGAACACCCACCCCATCCCAGGCATCGCCTGCACCTGGGGGCTGTCCCCAAAGAGCGGTGGCACCTGTGCTCTTAAAGAGCAACCCCAATCCTTGCAACTGGGTGCTCGACTGCAGTGGCGCTGCCACCTCCCCGAGCCACCGGTCACTGGCCCTGAGTGTTTGCTGTGCACCCCCATATGCACATTTGCAGCCCCTTACCACACACCGAGGTGCACATGGGCAGGAGCCGGGACTCTCCTGTGGGCAATCCCACCCGGCTGGGACACGGATGTGTGTGTGATCCCAGCCCTTCTCCACACTGGGAGCAGGGAGCTCCCGGCCTCGTCCCTTGGACGCTGGGGCAATGCCCGGCCTGGCACCGGATTTCCGGCAGGCGCTGCCAGGACGTGGGAAAGGGCCCGGAGCCGCCCCGGGAGCCAACGCAGGCCAGCCCCAG